CCGGCCGGTGCGGAAGACGCCCTCGACGTACGCCACGCCGTCGTCGGCGAGCGCCTGCCTCAGCAGGAACGCGTAGTCCGCGCGCTGTTCGCGGTTCAGCGACGTCATCGCCTGCCGCTCGTAGATCACGTCGAACTTCACGCCGCGCAGCGGGCCTTGCCAGAGCTCCGGCGCGAAGATGTCGCGCCAGTGCAGGTGGATGCGCGCGTACGCGTCGAGCGGGAGGGCGCGCTCGGTACGGGCGACACACGCCCGCATCGCTGTCTCCGACGCGTCGACGGCGTCCACCTCGAAGCCACGCATCGCCAGCTCCCGCACAATCGGCGAGTCCCCGCACAGAGGCACCAGAGCGCGTGGACGTTGCCGCCTCTTTTGCTGCTGCTGCTGCTGCTGCTGCTGCATGAACGCGTCGGCGTCGTAGAGGTCACGCCCCGTTGCCTCACGCACAAAGTCAAACGGGCCACGATAGAACTCCGCCGTGGACTCACCAGCGCGCCACAGCGGGTTGCCTTTGCGCCACTCGTTCTCCCACCATGCGGGCGATGTGTGTGGCATAGCGGTGGGAGGCACCGGAACGAACTTGTAGCCGAGCATCTCGCGGTACTCGTCGACGAGCCACGGCCCAAGAAAGACGGCAGCACCGAGCAGAATGCCGCCCACAGCAACCCAACCCTGCAGCCGACTGGCGGTGATAGCGCGCGGCATCCAACCACTGCGGTGGTTCATGCGGAAGCGGTTGACGAGGATCTGCCCGTCAAGCTCGGAGCCCGACGGCGTACGTAAGCCAGAGCGGCGCAATGCGCAGCACCGCATGACGACAACGCAACGATATCCTTCTGCTTCCCACCTACTGCTCCTACTCTTACTACTATTATTGCTGCTGCTACAGTAGATGTGTGTGTGGGTGTGAAGGAGGAAAAAAAAATCGGAGCGAAGAAGAAATTGCGCTGGCGTAGCAGTCGGTCAAAAGGCAAACGGGGACCACACATGTGTCAGTTGCAAACAACAACCAGCAGTGCCAGCGACCACCCCCATTCAGCTGCATTACTGAGTGTCTATCTTCGTTATAACATTCACCCACACACCAGGATGAAGAGATATACAGCTGTTCGTTTTATTGTGGGTTTCACATGCCGTTGCGCACGTCAGCGAAGGGCAGCAGGGCACTGCGCGAGGGCAAGCAGCACGTACATGTTGGCGTAGTACTCGTGTAACGCCTTGGCCAGCTGCGTGCCAAGGACACCATCGTCCTGCTGCAGCGCCTGGTGGTACACACAGGCGGTGTAGTCGTATGTGATGACTAGGTCGCGCAACGCGAGCGCCAAGCCGGGGGCGTCCGCCACCTCCAACGCGTCGCGCTGCGCCTCGTCGATGCGCCACGCCTCGCCGTCCTGCAGCCGCCCGCGCAACGCG